TGTTACTCTCTTGCCTAGCAGGGATAAGCTCCAAAGCTACACAAAAGGGAAGGGACGTGGGGGCTAGAGGCTACAGGAAAAACGATGGCTCTGCAGCCAAAGGAGGCACCAGGGAGACCACAGAAGGCACACGCGTGCGTGCACACACACATGTATACATATACAAGCGTGCACACATGCACACGCACACACACAGAGGGCTGACTGAGCTGGCACTCAGCCTGAGAACTTCCAGGTGTGTTACCTGCCTCCCTTGATGCTAAGGTTTGCATACGGGTGAGTGTGTCCCCAAAGACTCACGTGCTGAGAGCTTGGTCCCCAGTGTGATGATGAGAGCTGCGAGGACCCGACCGAGGGGCCCTTGAGCAGGGTCATTAGGTCCCTGGGGCACGGCTCTCAGAAGGGATTCGTGTAGATCCTGCAGGTCCTCCTCTGCCTTCCCGTCTTGCTATGTGGTCTCCCCCTCTCTAACACGGCCCAGCCAGTGTGATGCCACCCACCACAAGGCTCTCCACAGGGCCAAGCTGATGCAGGGGCCGCCCCCCTGAACCTCCAGAACTGAGCTGAAGAACCTCTTTCCTCTCTAAGTCACCCAGCCTGCAGTGTTTTGCAATAGTAACAACGGGGGCCTGACTAAGACACTGGGCTTCCAGACCCCTCCTGTGCACAGCCCCCCCCCCCGCCCCCCCCACCCTGGCTGCTGCATGGCTTCCTCTGCCGGCCGGCGTGTCAGCTGGGGCCCTCTCTTCTTCTCCCATCCACCCTACTGGGTCCACAGGCCGGAGCCGCCAGGGCCTCGGCAGGCGGCGTATAGGGCTCAAGGAGAGCAAGCGCTCCCTGCCCAGAGGCCCGGCCCTGCACAGCTGCTCCTCCGTTCTTGCCAGCGCCAGCAAGCAACCTCTTGGGCCACAGAGAGTGCGATGTTTTTAAGAGGGGCTCCAGTTTATGTGAATTGCTTAGTTTTAAAACATCAGTAAATAAACATTAACATCTTCAAACACCGGTTGGGCCAAACAAAACAAGCTCTCAGGCTGTCAATTTAGGGCAGCTTCCACACGCTCCAGGGGCACCTGGTCCTCCCCAAGCCAGGGCCGCATGGACAGTGAATGTGAAGCGTCCAAACCTGGGGGTCCCTTCCAGGTCTCAGACCCTGAGATCCAAACTGTACCCATGCAGCCCTCAGATACCGCCAGTGACCCCTCGTACCTCCCCTGCCCACCAATCCAACCCTTTCCCATCCCCTGGCTCCATCCCCAGCCCCAGCTTGTCCTGCTGCCCGGCCTGGCCCACCCCTGCCTCTTCTTGCTCTGAGCCCTGTCCTTGGCCTCCCTGTGCAGGCCCAGGGAACCGCTGCCCCGCTGGTTGAGCTGGTCTGTGTTTTGGGCCTTTCCTTCAGCCTTTGGCACGCTTAGCCCAGATGGAGATAGGACTTTTATGTGACTGAATGCGTGGACCAATGCGGCATCTGCCGACCATTCCAGCGAGGCTCCTGGGTGTCACAATAGAGTCTCCCGCCTCCCTCCTGGTGGCCCTGGTCCCGTCACACCACCCAGTGAGCCACCAGGCACTACTGCACTACCATGCCACTTCCTGGCTTTGCTTCTTCCCCTTAGGGCAGATGCCTCCATCCAGGCCACCCTCAGCATCCCCCTCCCCCCATGTCATCTCGCAGCGGCCTCAGCCCAGGGAGTTCTGAGGTTCTGCGACACTAGGCTCACCCTCCAGGTGCTTGCTTGTTCACAATGCAGAATTTGGGGTTCCACTTCCACCAGGATTCTGACTGTGCAGGGAAGGGCTCCCCACCATGGGTCCATGGGGCCGGCGTTGTGGCATGGCAGGCTTAGGGACTACCTGCGTCGCTGGCATCCCATATGAGTGCTGGTTTGAGTCCTGCCTGCTCCACTTCCGTTCCAGATCCCTGCTAATGCACCTGGGAAGGCAGCAGAGGATGGCCTAAGTGCCTGGGCTCCAGCCACTTACACTGGAGATCCAGAAAGAGCTCCTGGCTCCTGGTTTCAGCCTGGCCCAACCCTGACTTGTTGCAGTCATTTGGGGAGTGAATCGGTTGTCAGAGGATCCCTTTATGTCTCTCCCCCTCTCTAACTCTGCTTTCAAATAAAACAAAATTAATCTTAAAAATAAAAAAAGCTCCCCAGGCAATTCTGATCAAGGTGCTCAAGAAACCAGACTGGACAGTACAAAGCTGATGCTGTCTTGCCCGCCATGGGGGTTCCTATGGGGTTCCTAAGGTGGGGCTGGGAGGTGGCTAGCCGGGCCCTGCTCTCTCTCACTCTGCCTTTGCACACCCAGCTGCTCCTGCCTGGTCAATGCCTCCTCTCCCTCAAGGGTGAACTCAGATGCCGTTTCCTGTGGGGAGTCTGCCCTGCCTCCCCAGCTGGCTCGGGTTCTTGTCCTGTCTTTCCACACCGCCCTGCCATAAATTATCACTGATTTGATTTAACAAGCACTATGTTATGATGACCATGCATTAGGCACTTGCTAGCCGTTTTATAACCATTAGCTCACAGAATCTTTTATCCGCATTACGAGACAGGAACTATCATTATACCCATTTTACAGATGAGTAAAGTGAGGCACGAGGCATGGAGTGGGTAAATAACTTGCCCGAGGTCCCCAAAGCTGCTAAGTGGCAGGGCAAGGATGTACTCCAGGAGTGTGGATCCGGAGTCCACACTGGACTGTGCTGCCGGCCTACGGTGCGCACTGTCGCCTCTCACCTGTCCTAGCACCTGTGCCCTGCATTCCAAGTGTTTGCTGGTGATGCTCCACTGGACAGAGAGCTTCCTGGGGCCTAGGGGAGCCCAGGGCCTGGGTGCAGTCTCAAGGAACATTTGCTAAAGAACAAAGCTCCGTGTCTTCTCGGGGCTGCATCAGGAAAGAAAGCTAAAACCTCAGAGTTTCGAGGGACTTTAAGTGGGACATGGGGCCCAACAACCTCCCCAGTGTTCTGCCCTTCAGAAGGTGACCCTGACTCTCCTGAGCTTGCACACTCCTCCTGCTGCACCTCTGCACGGCCCTGCCTCTGAGGAAGCTGCACCCTACCACGAGCCGAAACGTGCCCGTGTTCACCTGGGCCACACAGGTCAGGCCCGACGCCTCCCACAGGAGAGGGCTCTTCACCCCTGGCTTTCACATCCTCGGGTTAACCGTCCCATCTCCTCCCCAGAGAGCCAACTCTCCCCTCCCATCTATCTTGCACATTTCCCTCTGGTCCTGCTCTGGTCAATAGGCTCCTGTCCGAGAGGGTGACCCCAGACACACTTTGGGCTTGGGGCCTGGCATTGTGGCACCTGGCCTGAAGCGCTGGCATCCCATATGGGCACCGGTTCGAGACCCGACTGCTCCACTTCCGATCCAGCTCTCTGCTATGGCCTGGGAAAGCAGTAGAAGATGGCCCAAGTCCTTGGGTCTCTGCACCCACATGGGAAACCCAGAAGAAGCTCCTGGCTCCTGGCTTCAGATCAGCACAGATACTTTGGGCTCAGTAGACATTAACCCCATCACAGCCAGTGTACTCTGACATCAAACACAGCCATGCGTCTCGGGACAACATTTGGGTCCACAGGGGATGGTGGCTATAGCACCTAGGGCTATGAGAGCACACACTGTGATGTCCTCACAGCGCCGAGATGCACCCCCCACTGTATTTCTCAGAACGTATCTCTGACGCGTGACCATAAATGGATGATGTGTTTCCAAAGCTCCCTTGCCCCCTCCTCAAATGGTGCCTGTAACACAACCCTGGGCAGCCTTTTGGAACAGCAAAGGGCCCTGGATTCTGACAATGGTGTGTCATGATGGGACCCCGTGCCGCTTTGCTTATAGGGTTTACGTTGGCGCAGCGTCCGTGAGGCCAGGGATTTCCTGTAAAGTCTCTGTTCTGGCACCAACCTGGCAGGCAACGATAATTAACTGCTGCTCTCCAGCAGGATCAGAGGCTTCCACTAGCCGAGGGTTTTTCCAAAAGTCTCCGTTCTCGCACCAGCTTTGCAAAGCAGCAGTAAGTGTCTCTATTTCACTGCTTGGTGGGGGAAGCTGGCGGTCCAACCCCAAGCTACCTCTCCAGAGCCCGCGCGCTCCTGCCACGCCGCCATCCGGGGAACTAGGGTTGGAACGTGGCGAGATGGGCACAAAGTCAGCACGGAGGCGATGCTGGGTCACAGCGGGAACGCGGACGGTCACAAACCAGCAGGCGAGACGCGGCGGCCCTGCAGCTGAGGATTCCTGAGGACGCCTCCCATTCAAGAACTCGTTTCTCTACTTGCATGGATTTTAACTGCAGTAACCAAGGGTCCTTATGCCTTAGTTGCTCCACTCTACAACTCAAGCACCAGGGATTTCAGTGTGTCCCGCTTTCTAAACTTGGAAACAGCAAGGACTGGGACACGGGAAACCAATGCTTTCTGTTAAGGGTGGCGAGCATCTAGCAAGTCGTTCGTGCCATTCGAGAAACACGATGTTTGCTGTGCCCCTTCCCTGCCGCCTCCACTCCGCCGTGTAGAACTGTCCCAAACACCTAGGCACTTAATAAACACACGCGTGTCCACCAGGCACTCCCTGTTCCCAGAAAAAGAAGCGCTCATTTATGTTAGAAGAATCTGGGTCGTAGCTTTCTCATATTCTACACGTCAGAAAAAGAAACTGAGCAATGAGACAAAATAAAATACAGAATTATCTCAGAAAACAAACCTAGATTGTTTACTTGAAGTACAAAAAATAAATAAATAAAAACCCAAGTTACATGTCCTGGCCTCAAACTCATTTATAAGCGCTAATGTGGTACCTAAAAATTTAGTGAAAAGAAATGAAAAAGAAAAGAGTCCATATATTTCAGGCTAAGAATCAAAACATAACGGCTGCTTACGCGTATAAACCTCGTGTTATGAATCAGTAACAAGCAACCAGCAAAGCGAGGAAATCAATGTAACGACGAAACTTCATTGCCACGACCATGGGGAAACTGCAAAGTTACGACTTACCGAGAAGTAGAAAAGCAGTGAGGACGTCCATTTCTGCCTCCTTCCCAACTCCAACGTGTCCAAGAATAAAGTGCTCACACCCAGCCAGGCTAATTTAAAAATTTTCCCTTAAAAAAAGTATGGCTGCAAATTGGCTCTCCTCAAACAGAAGGCACTTTCAGAGGAGTTATATAAGCAAAGCACACAGGCCAATTCAGTGACGCGGAGCCCAGCTCACGCAAGAGCGAGGCGGCTGGATGCGAGTGTAGCCCACACGCACGTCGCCGAGAAAAAGCCAGGGTGGGGAGTGACGGCCCGCCGCCCCGGCCCACGCACGGAAAGTTTTCAACAAGTAACCGCTGAGAGCCCCATCGAGCTTTCTGGAGAGGATTCTTTCTTTACAGGTCATTAACCATCTGGATTTTTAAATTTCTTTTGCCCATTTGCTCTTGACCTCTCTTCCGATTCTGGAAGCACTAAAATGAGTACTGTGAATTCCCTGGACTTGGAGAAATGGCCTGTCACAAGCGCCAGATGGGTGTACGGACGCATGTCACACAATCGGAGGTGACCCCAGGAAGCTGGCTGAAAGGCTCTCTGCAAACCGTGGGTCCCCAGCGCACGTAGGAACCCCACCCACTCAGCCACCTGCTCCACGTCATGACAGCAATGCCCCCTCCTCACTTAAGTGTCCTGGGTGGCGATGGTGCCCACCACTGTCTCCCACCCCTCAGGGTAAGGGGACAAGGCAGAGGGAAGGCGAGTGACAGCAGAAACACAGCTTCCAGCATCGCAAAGGTGTTTCTGCGGCATCAAGTGCACAGCAACAGAGCGTTTCAGGACAGACACAGGTGCATGCATGCAACAAACATTTATGAAATAACTGCTATGTGCTAGTGCTGGTTCCTGGGCTCTAGAGAGAAACAGGGCATGGCTGCTGCTCTCAAAGAGCAGACAGTCCACAGAATAAAAAGACCTAAGAACTGAAAACGACGGTGTTACATGGTGAGCGAGAGGAGGCGAACAAGTTCAGGGTGTCCTGATGGACAGCAAGGAAGGCATGGGCCCTGGGGGCTCAGGCAAGGCTCCTAGAGGAGAACAGGCAAGGACCAAAAGGGGACAGATGGGAGGGAGGTGAGGGGAGTGCTCCCGGGAGAGTAGGGGTGGGATCGGGCACAGAGATGAGGCTGGCACACACAGAGAGGCGCTGGAGGGCAGGGGACCACCCAAGGGGACAGTAGGGCCGAGGCAATGTTGGAGGACACCACTCTTGGGCTCTTGGGGAAGCCACGGTGTGCAGAGACTGGGGCAGGGCTTGAATACTGGGGTCCCAGGCCTGCAGACAGGCTTCACTGGTGAGCTCTTTATTTGGCACGAGGGATTTCTCATGCCACAGCCCCCGCTGCCCAGGGGGCCAAGTTAGATGCTGGTGATGCAATATCCTGCCCTGCTCTGTACAGCTCCCGCCCCGCAGTTGACTGCACACAAACTCAGGCCTAACCCTTGTGCTCCATGCAGTACGGCAAGGGGTGTCCAGCTGGGCTACTCCTGGGCAATCTGAATAAAGTATGTGAGAATCACCAGGCAACCTAAGAACCCATGCAAAAGCCAAACACCTGTCACGAGGTGTGGGCATCTGGTGCGGTGGCAAAGTTGCCACTTGGGAAGCCATGTCCCATACCAGGGCACTTGGGTTTGAGTCCTGGCTCTGCTCCCAATTCCAGCTTCCTGTTAATGCAGTCCCTGGGAGGCACAGTGATGGCTCAAGGAACTGGGTTCCCATCACCCAGGTAGGAGACCTGGATTGAGTTCTTGGTTCTTGGCTACAGCATGGCCCAGCCCCGGCCATTGCAGGCATTTGGGGAATGAAACTGTGGATGGAAGATCTCTCTCTCTCTCAAATAAACAAATTAAAAAAATAAATAAATAAATACCAACCTGTCGTGTGCCAGCAGAGCACAAGCCAAGCACTGTTCAACGGTTTAGGATTCCTGCTTGCAACCATTTACCACCAACATTTACCACCAACAACAGAAAGACTCTGTTGTCTTAAACCCCATTGTTCATTTGAAAAACAAAGGCTTTGGGGCCCCTGGTTCCCTAGCAGCTCAGGCCCCGGCCCCTCTCCCCCCACGCCCCGCCCGCCGGGGGCCAGCCCTACTCACAGAACTGCAGGCTGAGGCTCACAAAGACCAGCAGTGCAGCCAGGGCCAGCAGCAGCAAGAAGCGGTTGCGGAAAAGCATTATTATTTGTTGTATTTTCCCGTCATGGTTTCACCTCGAATGGGGAGCGTGTCCTGGGGAAAGAGCACAGGCAACAAACGAGCGTTCAGAGGTGGGAAACCCAAGTTTGTCAACCGAAAATAATCCAATTAGCCCAGACTAATTGGCCCAGGGACCCGTGAGCCCTTGCCGGAGAACAATGGCACAGTCTATGCGTCAGTCTCTGACCCCCAAATCAGCCCGAGCGAGAACGCCCCCTTCCAGTTCAGAGGAAACCGGTTCATGAATGCTTCGTTTCTTTGACATCCACAGAATGAGATATCTTAAGAGACATGACCTTTCCAAAGAAAAAGATGTACGTCTGTCCAACACGGACCCAGTACCCAACAGCAAAGCCTCCGCGTGCACCAGCTCACCTCTGATGACCTCCAACCTTTCAAGCTGCGACCTCATCTGATGAACCTTTGCCTAAGATGACCTTGTTTGTTGTCATCATGAACCTGAACCTCAAGCACTGCACTGTGCCCCGCAGGAATGCTTTCGGGGACGGCACCGGTGTGCAAGGGGATTCACTTCCTTGCCCACTGCCCATCCACTGCTGACAGGTCTCTCTCCTGCGCCACGGGACTTATTTCGGATGCATGCAGGGGTCTTCCTGCAGCCCCACCTCACCCATTCTCATTTCCTCCAAGCACAGCAGAACTGTGCAGGGGAAAAAAAATGCAGAATGAGGTCCTTAGTGTCTCCTCTGTGAAAAAGTGAATTCTATTATGGGTTTTATCCTGGCTGCCTAAGAGACCAAGCTTATTTCCCAGCTCTTACTGGGGGCTTAAAATAGAACTTGAAAACCAGTCTTTTTACAAAAGGTTTCATAAGATTTTAACAGTAACTTTTCCCTTTTTTAAAAAAAGAGTTATTGTTTTATTTATATAGAGAGAGGGGGAAGAGAGAGAGATCTTCCATCCATTGGTTCGCTCCCAAAATGGCCACAGTGGCCAGGGCCGGGCCAGGAGCCAGGAGGCTCATGTGGATCTCCCTCTTGTGGACAGGGGCCCAAGGACTCAGGCCATCTTCTGCTGCTTTCCCAAGTGCATTAGCAGGGAGCTGGATCAGAAGCAGGGCAGATGGAACTCAGACTGGAGCCCATATCACATGCTAGCATGGTAGGCGGCAGCTTCACCCATTACACCACAACGCTGGCCCTAGTAGTACTTTCAAACCTAAATCTTTTCCTGCTTCAAATAGGAGTCTATGTCAAAAAGTTCATGGAAAATGGAATTAAAAGGTAACTTTAATTTGGAAAAAAAAAAAACAAACATGGAATCTGTACACAGATTTTTCAGAATATCCATTTCCATCGACTTTTGGAAGGTCCCTTCGCCACTCTCCATTGGATGCCTGCTAGACAAAATCAGACAAAAGCTCATCTGCTACAGGGGTGAGGGATGCAGAACTCAGCGGATGCACAGATGCCACTGAACTGCACACCTGGGCTGAGCTGACAGGTGAATTACAGCTCATAGCTCAACAGCTGTTTTACTTAGAAGCCTGCGCATCGGCTCCTCATGGAGCAGCAGCCAGAGCCCAGTGTGCAGGGGCCCTGCAGGGGAGTTCCACTCCTTGCAGGGACCTGTCAGCCTTTCTATGGAAAGAAAACGCTTGCTAAAAGACTGACACTTGCCCTTTGCAACTGCGCCTGGAGGTCCAGCACCTGGTATCTCTTAATTAACAGGTGTCAATGTTATACTTCCAAATGAGCACAGCTTCTGTCGCTGAAGTGACCACCTTACACCAGGGGCTAGTGCCTCTGTGTCGCAAGTTGATCTGCCACTCCTCCTGGGGACCCTCCTTCCAGGGCTGGGGCTGGGGTGGGGAGAATTACAAGCCTCCAAGCACCCTGGCATTTCTGACTTACAAAAAAAATACCTGGTGAACTGTGCTCTAAACTTAATGTATTTAGGACCCCCAAATAAAGGTTTTCTGTTTCTGAAATTTGAGCTCCCCTTAGCCAGCATCCCACCCACATAATGGCTCAGCAGGACCTGGGCTGGGTGAGCGGGTCAAGGCCAGGACATCTGTCTTGAACCCCCATGGAGGTCAAGGCCACAGTACAGACCCAGGATGAAGGCTTGGCCAAGGTGGTGCAAGTGTGTCCTCCCGTCCCCACAAAGACAGTGATTCCTTGATGTTACAGAATCCCAATCCCAGACACGACGCCATCAAGCCCGGCAGGTTCTGTGCCCCAATCCGGCCTGGAGGGTTCCTCGCCTCTGGGTTCAAGAGAACACCAAAGGAAAACCATCTCGGTCAGATGGAGCTGCTCTGCCCTCCTCCCTGCGTGGGCTTTACTGCCTGGCTGAGCTCCCTGGTCCGGAACATGGCAACAACAACACTAACTTCCAAAGGCTGGCCACAATGTTTCCAGGACATGCTCGGGGTGGGTGGAGTATCAGCCTCTCCCTGCTGCCTTCCCATCCCTGGTGGGAGCCCCTTGGCAGTCTTGCATGGAGGCCTCCAGTCTTCACACTGTTTTAATCCATCACTCACCAAGCACAGTGCGGGCCGCTTCTCTGGGCTCCCGGCATCATCTCTGCAGGGTAGGCACGGGCATTTCCAATACACAGAGAGAAAACCCAAAATCGAGGGCATGAGGCTACTGAGTAGTGGTGCCGGGATACAGAGTGAGACCCCCACACGGGCCTCTGGCCCAGCATGGAGGCTGCCACTTGGGATGCCTGCCCTCCACATCCGAGTATCTGGGTTTCAGTCCCAGCCCTGCTTCTGCTCCAAGCTTCTTGCGAATGCTCATCCTGTGAGGCATCGGAGATGGCCCAAGTCCTTGGGTCCCTGCCACCTACATGGGAGATCCAGATGGATCTGCTGATTTAATCCCCAAATGTCCACAACATCTCAACCACCTGCACCAAACGCTCAACCCACAGTGATCGTTTTAACCTGGGGAGGGGGGTGGGTGGAGAGAAGATCATGGAACAGGGAGCAGGTTCAGAGCAACCGGAACCTTTGTGGTGTCCCTGAACCCCCCAACAAGTACTTCACCATTATGGTGACAGCCTACCACCTTCTCAAAGTTAATGCCACCTCCTTAGAGTGAGCATCTTGTCCAGGTCCTACTGGGAGATGGTCTCGGGGGAGGGGGTCCTTCCAAGTTCTGCTGTTCGGAGGCTCCTGTATCCTGGCTGCCTGAAGATGCTTTCTCTTGTGGGACCACAGCAGCAGCGAGGAACAGGGCAAGGGAGGATTAACCATGGTGTAGGGTTCCAGGTGCTACATGGAGAGGACTGCTCCTTGGTGAGTGAGCTCTCTGGCTTCTGGCAGAGCAGATTTGTCACAGTGACGGCCCCCGACATGTTCAGGCCCTTCCATATCTGGAGCCTTATGCAGTGCCCCACAATGACTCTTGGGGGGGGGGCAGGTGGTTCGTGCTGATGGGACAGCAGCAAATGTGCTGTTAGCAGAGGCTTGACAGCGCCTTAGGCACTGGGGCTCATCCTCCTTTGCAACTTCTGCAACACTGAGACCATCCTGTGAGGAGGCCCCGGCTCAGCTGCTGGAGAATGAGGGACCACGGGGAGCCAAGGCAAGCAGTCTCTGCTAAGGCTCTCTTCAAACAGCCAGTCTGCCCCAGTCAGCACCCAGGCCAGTGAGGCCATCCCCGAGCACACAGCTCCAACCATGCCACACCCGCAGGCAGCCATCAGTGAGAGTCCACCTGGCTAAAGACTGCATCCACAGACCCACAGGCAAATATTGTGCAGTTCTGTGCTTTTTTTTAAAAAAAGACTTATTTATTTGAAAGGCAGAGCAACAGGGAGAACAAGACACAGATGCACTGCTCTTCCATCCACTGGTTCACTCCCCAAATGGCTATGATGGCTGAGGCTTCACCAGGCCCATCTGGGTCTCCCACATGTGTGTAGGGGCCCAAGTACTTGGACCATCTTCTGCTGTCTTCCCAGGAGCATGAGCAGGAAGCTGGATTGGAAGCAGAGCAGCCGGGACTCAAACCCCTCTTCGTATGGGATGCTGCACCCCAATGCTGGCCTGTATAGTACTGTTTTAAGACAATAAACTTAGAGAGCTCAATAAAACAAACACTACCTGATACAAGAAAGAGGAACTGCCTTGTATCTTTACCAAGAAATTCTAAGCCAGGATCTATAGTTTCTTGTGCTCATCTGCAGGCACCACACGCCAAGCCCCACCTCATCTACATACTTTAATGTGCCAAGTGCTGTTTGGGAAAGGGCTATATTTAGCTCTACATGTAAAACACTGACGATATACTGAGTTAACCAGATGGCTGGGACCATGCCACTGCCTCACTGCTTCTAGTCTTTGGACTACTAGCTCTCTATCTGATGCTTTTCCTTAGGGGAAGGCGGGCCCTCCGCCCTCGGACTCTCCTCTGCCTCTGCCCTCAGACTCTCCTCTGCCAGCCTCCAGCCCTGGCAGAGCCCCATTGTCTCCACCTGTGCCAGGAAGCAGGCTGGTGAGTACACAGCACAGCCTCGGGTGTGCACACGACCTGGCCGGAGAGGCACCAAGCTCTGGGATAAACACACTGTAGCCCATTCTACTAGAAAGCTCGGAGAGGAAGGTTCTGCTTTGTTCTCAGGTTTTTACTTTATATTTCCCTAAATGGCTAAATCAGCATGATACAATCCAAAATTCACGTGCATTTGAAGCAGTCTGTATCTGCAGCTAGCACTAGGACCCCAAAGGCGGGGGGTGCGTGAGTGCACCTGTGTGTGTGTCCAGTGAAGGAAGCAGAGGGCCCGGCTCCACGGCTGTGGGTGTTTCTTCACTGTGGAC